AATATATTATATATATACTTTATAAAGTATAAAAGTATTTAAAAGATTTTTATATAATTATATATATTTTAATAAATTAATAAAGTTTTATATAATATTTTTAGAATTTTAACTCTTTTATACTTATAATAAAGTTAAGGTATAATTATATTTATAATTTATATAAAATTAATAAAAGATAGTTATTAATATATTTTAATATATTAATATTATATATAATTTATAGTTTATAATATACTTTATATATAAAATTATTTAATAAAGTATTAATAATAAATAAACTTTATAAATATAATTTTAACTTTTATAATTTTAATATTTAATATACTATTACTTTTATACCTTATAAAGTATATATATATAGTCTATAGTTTATAATATACTCTATATATAAAATTATTTAATAAAATATTAATAATGTAGATTTTATTATATATAAATATAGTTTTAACTCTTAAAGCTTTAATTTCTTATATACTCTATAAATAAAATAGTATAATAAATTACTATTTAATAAATTAAGGATAGAATCTTTTAATTAAATTATTAAATATTAAATATTAATTATTATTAAAAGAATAATATAATATATTATATATATTAATTATAAAGTAATTAAAAAATAATATAATATATTATATATATTAGTTATAAGGCTATTATTATTTATATTATATACTTTAATTAAAAATTTACTTAAATTATTATTAATAAAATATTAAAGGCTTTATTTAATTAAATTTATATTTAATAGAAACTTTATTTATTAATATTATTTAAACTAATAAATTTTTATTAAAACCTATTAGAAAAAGATAGTAATAAATACTTTTAGCTAAAAGAGTTAAAGTTTTAATTATTTAAATATAATTTTACTAACCTTATTTATATAAAAAGGTAGCTATATTACTCCTAAATATTACCTTTAAAGATCTATTTTCTAACTCTTCTCCCTTAAAAACCTTTAAGTTTAAGCCTATATTTACTAAAAGGAAGAATAATAATACTATATTTATATTAATAGAAGTTATTAATAAAGTAGTCTTTTTAAATAAAGGAGTTTACTTAATAAACTTAAAAAACCTAGATTTATTAACCTTTATATTATTTATTTTAATATTACTAAAAGAATTCTTTTTTATAAGATTTTAACTTTTATAAATCTTAATTTTATTATAAGTTATAAAAATATAATTTAAAAATATTTAAATTAAATAAATTTTATTAATATTAATATACTTAAAACCTTTTAAAAGTACTTTTTTATAATTAAATAAATACTAATATAAAAGGAAAAAGGGGGAAAGAAAATAGATAGGGGAAGAGAAAGGGGAGAGGGGGGCTACTATAGAGCTAGAAACTAAAGGGCTAAAAAGGTATATTATTTAAATAATAAAACCTATTAAAATAGGAATTAAATTAATAGGCTATTAATAATTAATAGACTTATAATTATATATATAATTAATATAATAATATATAAAAACTTTATATAAAGGATTAATTATAATAAAGTTAGTTATATAATTTAATTATAAATTATAACTATTAATATACTTTTAATATATAAATATTTTAATATAGCTAATAATTTAAACTATAGCTATAATAAAATTTCTTAAAATTAAAAAGACTTATATATATTTATTTAATAAAATAAATTAACTACTAAAAGTAAATAATAAGTAGATTTTAAATATATTTAATATTTATATTATTAAATAATATATTATTAAAATAAACTTACTATATTTTAAATATAATAATTTAAATAATATTTTAAACTATTTAAAACTTTATAAATATATTAATAATAATTTATAATATATATATAAGAGTAAGATTTATATATATTATTAAAAGCTATAATAATTATATTTTAAATAATAATAATATATTAAAATATATAAATAAATAAAGAATAATAACTATATTTAATTTTCTATTTTAAAATATATAAATATAATAATAAAAGCCTTAAATAAAAGGTTTTAATATTTATAAAGGTTATAATATAATATAATATAATATTAATTTTATAAATAAAATTTAAAATAATAAACTATAAACTATAATTTTATTTTAGTTTAAAGTATTTTATATTTATATTTAAAAGGTATATATTTTAATTAACTTTATATTTTTAAGTATAAACTTTAATTAATTATTTAAATAATACTTTAAAGCTATTAATATTTTAAAACTATTAATACTTTAAAGTTATATTTATATTTTAAAGTTTATTTAAAGCTTTTATATAGTAATTAATAGACTCTATTAAAATATATAATACTTATATATATATAAACTTATATTTTATAAAATATATTATTAAACTATTAATATATTTTATAAAGTATAAAATAAAGTTTATAATAAATCTTTATAAACCTAATTATAACTACTTAAAACTTTAAAAATTTAATAATTTTATATTAAAACTTATTATACTATATATATTAAACTTTAATATAATATAATAGATTTTAAAATACTTTTAATATAATAAAGTATAATAAGCTTATTTATATATACTTTATTATATTAATTATATTAAATATAATAAATAGTAATTTTAATTAAATTAATATAAAAGTTATTTATTTTATAATAAAGTTTATAATAACTTTATTATAACTATTTATTTTAATATATATATTTATTTAAACTTATTAAAATAGACTTTATTATATAATATTATTATAATTATTAAATTATTTTATAAATAAAATAGTTATATTAATTAATTAAAAATATAAAAATAATAATTAAAGAGATTAATAAAATAGAATAATATAAAGCTATAATAAAATAAATTAATAAAAATTTAAATTTATATTTTATAAATAATTTATATTTAATAATTTATAAATTATATAATAAACTTATAATTAACTTTAAATTCCTTTTAAAGGTAAACCTTATAGTTAAAATTTAAATTAATAATTTATATTAATAAAGTTAAAAAGTATATATATTATTTACTATTATATAGATACTTAAATTATTAACTTATATTTTTATAAGTATTTTTAAACTAATAATAACTAATATTAATATTAAGATTCCTTTTAAAACTAATATTAAATTCTTTTTAAGTAATTTTAAAATCTTATTTAATTAAAGTAAAATTATTTATTAAAGTTCCTTATTTATTTATATTATTTTATAAATAGTAAGAGTATAAATTTATATATATATTTAAAAATTAAAATTTAAATATTTAAATTTATAATTTAAAAATAAAAATTTTATTAAAATTAAAATATTTATATAAAGAAAATAGTATATTAATTTTAATTTATTAAATTAATAAATTATATTAAAATATATAAATTATATACCTTTAATAATAATAATAGTTTTTAATATATATTTTTATTTAATAATATTATAATAAAATAATAGTTATATTATTTTAAAAATAAAGAAAATAAGAGTTTAAATTTAAGTTAACTTTAAAGGAAATTATTTTTAAAATTTAAACTTTTATAATAAGTTTTACTTAATATTTAAATTAATTATTAACCTTTAGAATTTTATAAAAATAAAAATAACTTTATAATAATATATAATAAGAGTTATAAATTATAAAGACTATAAAGATTAAAAATTATATAAAAATAAAAATAATTTTATAATAATATATAATAAGGATTATAAGGATTAAAAGATTATAAAACTATAAAAATTATAAGGATTATAAAGATTATAAAGGAGGATTTAAAAATTATATTTATTAAGTAATAAAGTATAAAGGATTAAATTAATTTAAAATAATTAATTTTATAATAAAGTTTAAAATAATTTATAAAATAATTATTTTATTTAAAGTTAAAATATTTAATTTATATATATTAATTTTATTTATACTTTATAAGTTATAAATCTAATTAATATTTATAATTTATAAGGTATAAATAGGTAATAATAAGTTTAAATATTATTTTTAAAGCTTATAAATTAAAATATTAAAAAATATTAATTATATTTATATTTATATATTTTTAATTTCTTATAATTACTATTTATTTATTAATTATTATTTACTTTTCTATTTATATTTTAATTATTTTATAAAGGATATACTTTTATAAAAAAGACTATTTAAAGGTTAGCTTATAAATTATTTTTAATTAGTTAGTTATTTTTAATTAATAAGTTTTATTTTAATTAATAAGTTATTACCTTAACTATTTTTAATTTCTACTTTTTAAAAGTTAACTTATAAGTTATTTTTAATTATCTTTTATTTATTTTTAAATATTTTAATTTATATTATAAATAATATATTTTATAAAAGAGTTACTTAAAGGTTAGCTTATAAGTTATCTCTTTAATTATTTTTAGTTTATTTTTAAATATTTTAATTTATTTTAAAAGATATCTTTAATTAGTTACTTATTTTATAAAGGATATATTTTATTTTAATTAAACTATTTTATAAAAGAAAGAAATAAAAAAATAATTTAAATAAAAGATATATTAAAAGTCTTTATTTATAAAAAAGTATTTAATAATTCTTTTTTATATTTAATAATTAAAATTATAATATTAATTATTATAATACTTTAAACTATATTATTATATTATATTATTAAGGTTTATTATTAAAAACTTTTATAATAGATATATTAAGTAATAAATAATAATCTTTTCCTCTTTTAATAACTAAGTAATTAAGTTTTTCTTTCCTTTTTCTTTAATTTTTATTTAAATTACTAATATATTTTATAAAATATATTATAATTCTAATTAAAAACTTTTTTTATTTAAAGTAATCTTTTATAAAGCTTAAGGCTACTTTATTTTATATTTTATTTTTAATTTACTTTATTTAAGGTCTAAATAACCTTAAAAGGCCCCTTAATAATAATATTAATCCTTATAATTTATAAATTAAGAAGTTAGGTAAAATTTATTACTCTTTAGAGCTTATAGAGGGCTATAGTAGTAAATTTTGGTAAAGCGAACCCGACTTCTTATATGTTATAAGAGCCCCTGGCCCACGTCCTTACTGGCTTTTTCCTTGTCCGTCGTCGTCGTCGCCGCCTTATCAGTCAGTCAGTCAGCTTTTAGTACCTGATCTGTAACTCAGTAGGTAGGTACCTTGATGAGTAGGACAGATGAGGTGAGGCGGGGGTGGGTACCTCCCCACTCCCCGCCCGCCCAGCCGGTCTTGGGACCCTGAGAGGCAGGCACACGCCGCACACCTGCATTCGACACAAGCTTCCCACATGTGACGGCCCGCCTGGTTGGCAACTTGGCACATGTTGGTACTTAGTCTTGGTACTTAGTCTTGGTACTTAAGTACCCAGGCACCCATGTGCCGTATTTCTATTTCTATTTCAACCTCACCTCACAACGGACCAGAGCTGTGATCTACCGGTAACGCATACATGACCTTCTCTATCTGGTGTCTAACGTTTTATCTACCGAACCTCTTACGCCACAAGCAAGCCAGCCATCCGCATCAGTTCTTGCCAACGTTCTCGTTGACCAGCACATATCTGAACCTCGCCTTGCCCGCATCCATGTCGAGGACCGCCTGGTTCGCCTCCTTCATCGGCCTGGCCTGGACCCACGGCTTGACCTTCTTGTCTGCTGCGAGCTGGAGCATCTCCGAGATCTCGCGGGGGCTGCCGATGCCGCTGCCACCGATCTTGATGCCGTTGGCGAGCAGCGTGAACGCGTTGATGGGTGGCAGGTTGCCGTCGTCCGGCGCGCCCACCTGGATCAGCGTGCCCTTGGTCTTGAGCAGGCCCAGGTAGTCCGTCAGCGGCATGTTGGCGCTCGACACGGTCGAGATGATCAGATCCAGGCTGCGCTTGTTCTTGGTCGCCCAGTCCTCGTCGTCCGCCGTGGCGATGTAGGCGTCGGCCCCGAGCGCCAGGACATCGTCCTTCTTGCTGGCCCTGCGGCTGATGCCCACCACCTTGTCCGCGCCCAGCGCCTTTGCGAAGAGCACTGCGAAGTGGCCCAGCCCGCCCACGCCGATCACGCCCACTGTCTTGCCCGGCCCGCAACCATTCTGCTTCAGCGGGCTGTACACTGTGATGCCACCGCACAGCATCGGCGCTGCGTCGGCACTGTCGACGCCCTCCGGGATCGGGATCACAAAGTGGCCGTTGGTCCGGTTGTAATTCGCATACCCGCCGTACGACTTGCCCTCGTCATTGGGGTAGACCGAGCCGTACGTGCTCGCCATCACGTTGGCGCAGTAGACCTCGTTGTGGCTGGAGCAATCAGGACAGTCGGGCTTCAGGCACGACAGCGCCTGGGCGCCCACGCCCACGCGGTCGCCCTGCTTGACATGCGTCACGTTCTTGCCAACACGAACTGCCGTGCCGACAATCTCATGGCCAACGACGCAAGCTGGCAACCGGAATGTTAGCGACACCTTGCAACATGGTCGGGGGGCTGGGTCGGGGCTCACGATAAGGGGTCGGGAACCAGCCGGACTTGAGCGTGTGCAAGTCGGAACCGCAGATCCCGCAGTGGGAAATCTCAATGTCGACGTCGTTCTCTGTCCACTTCTTGGGCTCGAAGGCGCCCCACTCCATCTTGCCTTTGGCAGACTCCACATCCTTGCCGAGCCAGCCCTCGAACTGTGTTGCGGCCATAATGATATGAAATTGTGTGTTGTAGTAGGTCAGGGAAGGTTGGGATACGGACAGTCGAGTCGAGGTCAATGGGTTGAGGGAAGAATGTTGGTGCAGATCTGTTGTGAGCCGATCATGTCGACCAGCCAAGACGAGGGCGATTAAGCTTTTTATCATCGACTCTGACCTGCCCTCTCTGGCTGGGCATCGCCCCGTCGGCGACTAATCTCAACACTGACCTCCCGCTCTCCCTGTCAGTGACGTACGGCATCCCAGGAGCTTGGGCCCCGTTGGCATCCACCGCTCAGACAAAGGAGAGCCAAGACACGGGCCTACTCCGGAGCCAGAAGGCAGGGTAGAACCCTTTCGAAGCCTTCGAAGCCTTCGAAGCGGCCGCTGCGGCCGCCTGCGGGCCGGCGTTTAGACTACCGCCCGAACGTGGAATGCAAATCCCCTGCACGCATTGATTTGTCTGAGTTCAATGTTATCTGAGGCTCTCCACTCCCGAGCTACTTCGTATCTCATGGCGAAGACTCGTACCGCTAGACTGACGGCCCGCCCGAGCCGCCCTGCCTACTCACTACTGTTACCCCTGAGGCTCTCATGATATCGACATTAGTAAGACGAGTGTGCACCCTCGCCGGGGCTGCGGATGCCACGGCCCAGATTTATGATTTGCAATTGGCGAAAGTTTCCGACGGCCGAATGAGTCAAGCAACATGCCTTGATGGGTTGGCAAGTTGGTTACACGGTGCTGGGCAGCCCCTAAAGCCGATGTTTAAATCCTGATTAGTAACCCAAACTCCCGGACATTGTGCAGCTCGGTCGGGTCCGTGAGATTGCCAGGTTGGGCACTACGCATCATACCTTTGCTTCGGCTAAACGTTTTGCACGCGCTTTCGCCGCATGCTGCAGGCTGCAACGTGCCAACTACAAACAGTAGGTTATATTCCTCAACGTCAGGTCGTACGACAGCTGGGCAGGGATCCGTCTGAGGTGTGAGCAAGACTTGTGGAGCATGCTACCCAACTGCCGGCTATGCGGGCCATGCTGCGCCTAGACTGGGCGGGACCACTCTACCCAACTGCGAGCATGAAGAGGACAGACAGCATTTGACTGGGTAAGAAATTTGAAGGGCTTGGCATCAAATCCCTTTGCCAAAATCAGGACCCCCTCACCAACACGTCTTCATCGCGTCCTGATCGTCAGAGTTTCCCCATCAAGCTGACCAGAGCCATGATTATGTCTGTCACCGAGGTCGAGGTCAAAGGACCCGAGCTCTCTGATGACACGGTCAGCATCAAGAACTTGAACGTATCCGAGGAATCGAGCCGATCATGAGAGCACTCACCAGCCAAGACCTGCTTCACCTGCTCGGACCCTGTCCCATTTGTCACGACGGCCATGAGGGCGGAGCCAAGGCAGCTCATCACCGTGCTGGTCGCCCCGGTGACCCTATTCAGAACAAAGTTGATGGGGGTGCATAGCGTGTCGGTGTCGTCCGGGTCGATATATGAAGGCCCCGTCTCCCCCTCGAATGCAAGCCGCGCTAGGGTGCCATCTTGAGACGAGAGCAAAGTTTAGTATCCGAACGGTCGGTCCAACACCAGGTGGCTTGCTCTTAGGAGCGCCAATGAAGGAACCGAACGAGACTCGGGGACAAAAGAGGGCGCGGGGAAGGAGAGGGGGGGGGGGGCGGCACTCGAGACCAAGCATAAGTAAACTTACCGTCTGGGTCATACTTCGGCCAACCCAGGTTTGCCAGCCCGTCCTCTGGGTCCCTTGCAAACTCGGCCCAGGCTTTCCTCATGAACGCGCCCGTCGATGCCTGCGCAGGCGTATCCGGGATGCCCGTCAGCCAAGACGCGGTCCCAAAGACGACGGGCAGCTCGGCGGTGTGGTAGTCAGCCCCGACGTCGTTGACGTAGAGGTTCGTATAGTTGCCGCCATAGAAGCGGTACCTGTACGTGGTGACGCCCTGTTCCACCCGCAGGCCGGCCGCCTGCCGCGCCCCGCACGTGAAGCCGACGAGGTTGGCGATGTCGAGGATCGGCTGCACCAGCTTCGTCAGCGGCGCGATCATGTCGACGGTCGACTTGTCGAAGTACGTGTACGCGAGCAGCACCGGCCAGATGAAGGCCGCCTCGTTCTCGACGTTGCCCACCAGCATCGGGACCCTGGCGAAGTTGCCCGCCTTGATGCGGTCTACTGCAGCCGACGGGGCGGTAATGTCGTCTGCGACGGGCTGGAACCCCGTCTGGACTAGGAGCTTGTCAGTACCTGAGGGTGGGTACGTAGCCTGTTCACGGAAAGTTGAGGACTGTCCGGGCCGGGCCATATCTGGTCACCTACTGGCGATGAGAGAATTCTCGTGAACAGCACCCAGGATCTCGGCTGTTGTCTTCATGCGCATACAGTCGACGGTGCCCTCCCCAGCCTCCTTGCCACCACAGCCCGCCGAGGCTGACACATCGTACCAGGCGGTGGCCGCGTCCTCAGGAGTACCCGCCAGGGCACCGACTGCGCCGCTAGCGACTCCAGACTGCGGGATAAAGCCATTTGCGATAGGGTCATTTGGGTACATTAGACTCAGGTAATCCGTCGATGCTCCGCCGGCTGACTGTCCGAACACGGTGATGCGAGACGGGTCCCCTCCGAATGCCGAGACCTCGTTGCGCACCCATTCGAGGGCCATGCGTTGGTCCAAGAGGCCGACGTTCTGCTGCAGGCCGGCTGTGATGTGTGCGTTGGTGAGTAAATGCTGCGATGCCATGTAGCAGGACACTTAAAGAAACCGTAAGAGAAGAGTTGGACTAACGTGCACCGGGAAAGCCAAATATGTTGACCCGGTAATTAGCTGAAATCACCACCACATCATTCTCGTCGGCCAGCACCGACCCATCATAGATTTCACACGCTGTGTTACCGATCGAGAAACCTGTCGAGAAACGCAAATGTCAGCCCACCGAGTACCTAGCATAATAAGCGCACGTGCGGTTGTCGAAGACTCCATGTCAGCGGGAAGGTTTACCTCCTCCAAATATCCAGAAGAGCACTGCTTTGGGTTGTCCCGTGCCCGACTGAGGCTTCGTCCAAACGTTGAGTGACAGGCAGTCCTCGCTAAGCGGCCGTCCGGTCTGTGCCTCGGCGGTGAGGATTGCTTGCCCGGCCGGTCCTCCGATATATGCTTGGTCGGTTGGGACTGATATTGTTTAGTCTCCTGTTCCTCCAGATACTAAGTGCAATACTTAAGTAGGACACAACTACAAGAACTGAACAAGAGTGCTCTGAAAAGAAGAAGAACGCAGTGGTTTAGTTAAAGCAATACGGGCAATACGACTTGTACAAGCGAACTTGTTCTCTTTCTGTATATTTGGTCACTTACTATGGTTACTCGGACAGTCTGGTCCAAAATCCGAGGCGTCAAAGACAGCCGAGTTGTCACTTGAATTAGCCGCAGCGCTGAACGAGCTCACTGCGACCGGAGGCATAAAACGTTGCTGGCCGGTGGGAGGCCGAGCAAAAGGGATGCCCAAGTATGCTGATACCTCTGGCCGCACGCGAGAGGCAGTTCCTCTTACCGTGCCGGCTTTGACCGTCACCGGTTGGCCCACGGTCCATGATGCTTGTCTTGTGTTTGTGTTCGAGCCGCTACTAACAGGCGATGTGGAGCCCAAGACTACAAATATTATGAGAAGGAGTGAGCTGCGCATCATGGTATGATTGTGAGAATTAGATCATCCGGCTGTTAATATCCTCGTAGATTGTCGGGGTCTGAAGCCTTCGATCAGCTCTGCTTGTCTAAGAGCAAGCAGGTCTTATTTCCCCGGGGCGAAACCATAGGGCTGTCGTCAAATCGATGGGAGGTATATATATACGTCTGCACAAAACGCTTATTATCCCATGCTTGATATTCGCCCAATGCCTTATTTCCACATGCCATCTCAACAAGCCTACTATGCCACTCTTCTCCGCACACCACCGAGAATGCCCATCCGAACAAGGGGAAGGGATCTTGGCTCGCTACTACCTACTCCGTACCGGGGACATGGGGGGCATCTGAGCATGACAATCGACCAAACATGCCAGCCTGCATGCTACTCCGTGCCGACTCAATCGCACAGGACAGCCTACATCTACCGATCCGAGTATTCACAAGCCAGAAAATCAAGAATAAAAGGGGACGATCACTCCATAGACGGGACAGGGTAAGCTAATATAACCTAGCATGTTCTATGACACCTGCCTCTGTGTTGGTTGTGCGTTGTGGATGCATCCTAGCGCATGAATTCCCCTTTTGGCCACAGGATGACAGGAAGCATCGCTGTAGCGCGGGAGCTGCCGACAGTGGGATTGATCTCGAAGCCAAGGATACCAGGGCCAATGATGCGGGGCCGACAGCCTCTCTGGCAGGTTTGGCAGGCCGCGGGATAATCGTCTGAACTTCTCGACTTTACAGGGGGAGGAGGTATGTCCGTGACCGTTGGGTCGGCAAATCATCACCAGTGTCACCGTGATAGTACATGCAGCCAGCCGTGATGTTCCGCCTGTCACCATGGGAATCTGATGCGAACGCTAAGCGCGAAGTAGGGAGTAATGGAGACAAGACTGAATCCAAAGTTGGTTATTTTGTATTCGTTACCTATACCGCGCATCTCTCGGGATATCGTGTGATGATACCCACGGCATTCCACAACGTGTGCTAACTAACGGTTGGTTGAACCGTCAGTTACATGCGCCGCATAATAAGTATAAACTGACAATAGTCTGAAAAACACGAGGTATCCCTGAGCAGTAAACAATGATCCCGCTGATTCAGACCGGCGCCTATCCATGCCATTCGTTGAAACCCTGCAAAATATCCAGCGCCGTTCCTCCACACCATCAGTCTTAACATGCCTGATCATAAGTTGCGCTGGGTATGCTCACATAACATCCCCGACAACAATAAATGGATGGCCATGATTATGCAAACGAGAGCCTCTTAGCCCATGTCCAGCCGCACCAATAAGATAACATTTTGATTTGTGGGGCACTCCTGAAGTCGCGTCACTTGGGCCCCGATACAGCAACGACAGCCACCAAATCACAAACCATGGATAACGTCGAGAAGCTTCGGACGACATCTAGCGTGGTGAAGCTTACAATGGCAATGCCGAGGTGGTTGTTGCGCCATGGACGGGGGCAGGCGTGGGTGTTGCAGGCGCCTGCTTGCTTCTGAGGTAGGAATCTATTCGAGGTCTGAGGCTGTTCATGAGCGCGTCCTCCGCCTCCTTGAGGCCAAGCTTTGTATTTTGAGCGGTCTGCGGAACAATTGTCTCCTCTGTGAAGCCGAGCACACGGTTCACCGCACTCATCACCAGGATCTCGGCGTGGAGCGGTCCGAGCTGTGGTTTCAGTACTTGCTGACTCAGTTCCTTGTACTGCTTGATCACGTCGACAAGTTTTGGGTCCAGGAGCTGCGCGTTGTCCACATCAGGGGTAGGAGTGCCTGTTGCAGGCGTCGCGCTTGAGCGGTGGGGGACAGGGCTTGGAACAGACGGGACACTAGTGGGTTGCACACTGTTTGGTGATCCAGATTGGTTCCCAGCGCCAGGGAGATGGGTGGGCGCCAGAGCAGAAGGTGCCGAGGGGCCGGCCGAGGCAGGGCCAGTGGCCGAGGAGTTATTGTGACCAAGTCCAAGGTTTACACCCGTAGTGGTGGCATTTTGAGTGCTGGCGGTCGCAGCCAGAGATCCGTTGGCTTGACTTGCGGGTGTGCCAGAACTGTTGGGAGCAGTAACAGTGGGGTTTGAGCCACTAGGACCAGAGCCATCGGGAGCGGAAGTCAATGTTGCTGGTACCGGTGAAAGTGCCGCTGAGGCCGATCCGGGCGCGGACGCGTTCCCATTCACGGTTGGCGCTGTCGGAGTGGCCTGGGGCCTCGCTGCCTCCTTCACGGCTGTTGATGCTGCGATGGTCTTCGGCTTGGAGTAGGTTAACTTGTGTGTATGGAAAATGTTGATAATTGCCTTCTCAAAATTCTCGTGCTCTGGCGCTAGGCTCATGTCGGTCAGACCTAGCCCACGATTGATAACGGATACTGCAACAGCGCGTGGGCGTTTGACCCGGCCTTGGAGTTGCTTGACAACCTCTTTGGAGAACTTGTCGAGGAACTCTCTCAATGATGACTCCACCGCGGGCCCTAAAGCCACAGGCACTGAAGCGTTCGCAAGGGGTTGCTGGGGCTGCGGTAAACTTGGGGCTCGCTGATTCTGTTGTAGCGGACCCGAATGAACCATGGTTGGGGCGCGCTGACTTGGGGCCGACGGGCCCTGACCAAGTCGTCCTGTTAGAGCGTGCTGGGCATTGTTGTGCAAGTGATGAGAGCTGTTTGCGGGGCCATGCACGAGCGGTGTCTGTTGTGCCCTCTGGTTGAGTGCCGGAAGGTAGGCTTGCTGTTGGTTTCCTGGATACTGTGGTCTCTGCGGTCCCACGCCAGCGGCATAGGTACTTGCTTGGGGCACATGCGCTGTAGCGGCTGGCTGGGGCTGCGGCTGGGGCTGCGGCTGGGGCTGCGGCTGGGGCTGCTGATGCTGCTGATGCTGCTGATGCTGCTGATGCTGCTGCTGCTGCTGTGATGTTTGTGAGTACGCCTGGCGACTGGGGGCCTGCTGGTTCGTGGTAATACCAGGATTGGTCGAAGTGGGCGTGGGACCCTGATGCGCCTGGCCGGCGGCTTGATACCGGGGCAACCCATTCATCTGAGGGCCACCTCCAGCGGGGACGATCTGTTGGTTCGGGAACTGCTGGGGTGGCGGTGGTTGCTGATAGTTGTGTGTGGCGTTGAAAGGGGCGTTGTACATTGGCTGATGAGGGCGCAAGTCTGCGGTAGTATCGCTTGGCTTCCGCTTCTTGCCCGACTCCAGAGGAATGCCTGGGACCCGCTTCCAGAGGTGTGTTTCTTGGTTTTTCTCGAAGCAAAGACTCCCTATAAGATTGTGCCGCACACTGCTTTCCCATCCCTTGGTGTCGACACAGAAATGAAAATGCGGATACGCCATTGCGATCCTCTTGTAGATTTGCTTGAGTGTGAGGCCGTCAGGGGCCGCGGTCAACACCTCGTCAATAAGCATCTGGTAATTTTTGTTGGGCTTTTGCAGCTTTTCTTCTGGCCAGTCCGCCCTCTTGCCCAGGTCTAATGGTGGGGTTTTTGGCTTTTGAAGTCGCTTCTGTTTGTCGGTCTTGTCGCCCTCTGGATCTTCCTCTTCATCCCCGTCCTCGTTCTTTGGTTTGCGTGGTTTATATTTGCGCTTCTCCGGCTGGTCACCCTCATCTTCAGGCCGAGGATGTTTCCTGGGTCGCCCAACCTTTCTCTTGATGGGGGGCTCGCCCATCTCCTGAGGTGGGTTGTTCTTCTTGTCTTCCTCTTCGCGCTTTTTCTTGAGTTCACGCTCCTCTCTCTTGGACATGACGCCATTTTTGGGGGGCCGCCCTGGCCCACGTTTCTTGGGAGGCACCATGGCTTGTGGTGCATCCGGTCCCACCGGCTGTGTAGTGTCCTTGACAGAATCCGATTCAATCGTTGGCCGTATAGGCTCCTCCGGCTGGGCCTTGGGAAGGCCGCCATTGACACCTGGCTTGGGCACAGCAGATTTGTCGGCGTCGGCATCTGAATCATCCGAGTCATCAGAGTCGAGAGTCACATTGGGGTTCTTTGCGGGTGGCGATTCCTCATCATCTGTGTCTCGCATGTCGCTTTCGCAACGGGAGTTGGAAAAGTCGAGGCTCATTTTCTTATCGCCTTCATAGTAGGCTCTGGGCTCTTCGTTGCCAAACTTCCCGTCTTCAACGCCGTGGATGGTGAATATGAAGCCGACACCCTGGATTTGAAGATCAGCGCCGGAGCGGAGTGTGACGACGTCGTCCCTGCGGTAGAGCACATCGTCACAAAAAAAGCCGTTCCTGCCGATGGCTGTTGCCTTCCAGAGGCGGTTTTCTTCATCGTACTGTATCTTGAGGTGATCCCGCGAAATACCCTTGGAAGTCTCGATGATGTTAGGACCGGCACCATGGATGTCTATTCTGGCTATGTCATCGGATGAAGGGCGGAGATTCTCCATGTCAACAGGGACCGCTCCTGGGGTGTGGTCGATGAGATATTGCCGACTGCTGATGACCTTATCACGCACCGGATGGTCATCTGCGGATGGTGACCCTGCCCTGGGTGGCAACGCGTCAAAGCTGTCGTCCAAGATTCTACGGCGCTTAGATGACCTTGATCTACCCTCGTCGTCCGACTCGGGGCCCAAAGCACCGCCCTCCTGACTGACGTAGGATCTGCTGTAGTGGCCACGCTTCTGTGGGACCACCCCCGACACATTGCCGCCCTCCTCGGCGATTCTCTTGTCCCGCAAGGCTTTCTTATAGACTCTCTGGTCTCTTCCTATTATTGTGGTATTTGTTGTGATTTCGACGTAGGAATCAGAAAATTCGAGGCGTGCCATACGGTCGAAACAGGCGCCGTCTAACTCTGGCTGGTCAAGTGAGGCGGCATCGTCATCATCAGAGATACCAGGGTCAGCAGCACCGTGCACGCTGACGCCGGGGTGGAAGGCCATGGGTTCGAGCTTGAATGTTGGGTCCTGGAACTGCCAAGGAAGGTACATCGGTCCGAGGTAGTGTTGTCCGTCCATGAAGGCCTGCGGCATGTCCTGTTCCAACATGGGCACATGAGGGTTGGCGAAGTCGCTCGAGAGGCCGTTGACCGCACGAGGATCGACTGACGCCGCATCGTCGGCGGTAGCAGCAGCAGCAGCAGCAGCAGCAGGACCCTCTTGTGGCGCAACAAACGGAGCGGTGCTAGGTTGGTCCGGCTGGGGTGGTTGCTCGTCAGTCTTGTTTAGCCAGTTGTGAACAAGGTCAGCGGAAGTGGTTTCTTGATCATGGTCGGCATGGCGGCGCGGAGGGGCCTCGTCGCTTGTGGGAGCGGACGGTTGGACAGGATTCGCCGGTGGGTCGGATGACGGGGGCAGATTCCTGGGCGGCGATATTTCTTGGTTCGCTATGGTTATCGCATCGTCGGGGTGGGTTGTGTGTAAGGGCTCGGTTGGTGAAGGGGCATTTGATGTCGGCGGCGGGCCAGCTGCAGGCTGGGGTCGCGACTCGGCTTGTGGTTGTGACTGCGATTGCGGCTCGGGGTGTGGTTGCGGTGTGCTGAGGTGACCACTGGGGCCATCCTGAGGGTGGGACGAAGTCATCGCCGAGGGCTATCGACAGCTTGCCCGTGGGGCATACATGAGATGCGATCTGGGATGTTCGTGGTCGGGGAGTACATGTGTACAGCTGGGGGTGCGGCGAGCAGACGAGTGGACAATCGGGCTCGAGAAGTCGTGATCGAAGCGCAAGAAAGTAGCAGGGAGGAGCAGATGCGATTAGATGCGATCGACGACTGGGGAGGTGCAATTCGGGGTGTCTAAGTGGGGCGCTTTCCTGCCGCAAAGCTGATGACGGCAATGGGGCCAGCCAATCATATGGCCTTCTGGCGGGCATGGACCCACTAAAAAGTTTGGGCTTCTGAGAATTGGAGGAATTTACGACTGGGCAGGGCCGGGCAGGCAGGCAGAACATGCCATGGCAGCCAGGGCGAAGCTCCGGGCAGATCTAGTCTCATAGTCGACCAGTAGGCCAAGACCGCTTAGCCTTATCTCAAATATTTAAATACCCTTAGCCAGGCCTACAGCCTAACCATCACTTACATAATATATAAACACAGACTCCCTACCTATTCTAAATAAAAAGTCTATATATATAAATTAACTATACTATTAAATACCCTAACACTAAGATAAGAATATATATAATTTAATATAAATTTTTTATTTATTTTAAATAAAGACTTTATACTTTATAGTAATTTTATAATTAAATTAATTATTAAATAGTATTTAAATATAAATAAAAATATTTAAAATTAAAATATAAAAATTAAAAGAAAATAAAGAATTTATATAAAAATTAAAATAATATTTAAATATTATTTTAAATAATATTATTATTAATATATTTTATATTTAATAATTAATTATTTAAATTTTAAAATTAAATAAAAGTTTTTAATATTATTTTTAATATTAAAATTATTAATTATAAAAGTTAAATATATTTATTTAAAAATAAAAGGAAATAAAATATATTTTTAATTATTTATATTTAATTTATAAATATTAATATATATAAATATAAAATTTATAATAAAATACTTTAATAGTAATTAAAATTTAAATATTAATATATTTTTAAATATAGAGTTTAAAAATAAATTAATATAAATATAAATATAAATATTTATTTTATAAACTTTTAAAGGCCTTTTATAAAGTTTTATTTAAATAAATTATAATTATAATTAAAAATATAACTAATTATTCTCTAACTTATTATAATTAAATTAAAGTTATAATTATATTATTAAAAATAAAATATAATATTAATTATTATTATTAAATATAATAAAATATACTTTAATATATATTTATAAAGCTATAAAATAAAATTATAATTTATTTTATATTTTTATTAAGTTTAAAAAATTAAATTAAAATATTATATTTAATATAATTAATTTATATTTTATTTAAATTAATATAAACTTATATTTAAAGATATATATAGTTATTATTTTATATTATAAACTCTTTATTTATTATAAATAAAAATTTATTATTTTAAATATTATTTATAATTAAATAGAATTTAGTTATATAAAAAATAGATTATAAAAGTATATTTATATTATAATAAGTTTTAAATAAATATTAAATATTTATTTTATAAAGTTTTATTATAATTTATTATTTAATAATATAATTAGTATTATAATTATTAATAAAGTATATATAATTATTATATAAAAGAAATTTTAATTTTTTATTTATTAAATTAAATTATTAATATTATAATTAATATTTTTATTTATATATATAATTATATTTAATTAAATTAATTAAAATTATATATTTAAATATATAAAGTTAAATATTAATAATATTAAAATAATTTATATTTTAATTAATTAATTTAAATTATTAATTATTATATAATTTTTTATAAATATCTATTTAACTTTATATATTTATATTTTATTTAATAATATAAATCTTATTAATTTTATAATTATAATTAAAATTTTTATTTATATTAATAATAAAATCTATTTTTAAGTTTAAATCTTTTAATTAAATACTTTAAAAAATATAGCTTTTAAAATAAATAAATTATAAACTTTATAAAATAGTTTAATATAAATATTTAAAAGTTAAATTAAAATTTAATATTTAAAGAGTATAAAAGTTAAATTTTAAATATTATATTATATTATTAACTATATTATTTAATATTAAACTTAATATTAATAATATTAAAATTATTATATAATTTAATTTATTATAAGATTTTAATATTTTAAATTTATAATAATATAATAAATATAATATAAAAGATATTTAAATAAAAATAATTTATAATCTTTACTCTTTATTATTAATTTAACTATTTAAATATTAATAGAATATAGTTTTAATAATTAATAAAACTTTTATTTTAAAACCTATTTAAAACTAAATATTTATTAACTTATATAATCTAATTATTTTATAAAATAATACTTTTAAATAATAATATAATTATTAAATAAATAAGTTATAAAATAAATAATATAAAAATTAATATTAATATAATTTTAAAATTAATAATATATTTAAAAGTTATAAATATTTTAAATTAAATAAAAATAAATAAAATAAGGTTATATTATTATAAGATATATAGAATATTTAATTTAAAAGTAGTTATTATTTAAAATTAATAAATAAAAAAATTAAATTTAAAATATAAAATATTTTTAAATATTAAATATTTTTAAATTTATATTATAAATTATTTTAAAAACTTAATAATATAAACTTTAAATATAAAAGATTTATAAACTTAAAACTTTATTATAATAATAAAATATATTAAAATAATAATATAATATTTAAAATATTATTATTTAATTTTATATATTTTAATAATAAAAGTTATATATAAATATTTTAAATAGTATTATTTTTAAATTATTTTAATATAATATATTAAAAGGTTTAATATTTTATATTAATATTAACTTATTATTTTATATTTATTAATAAAATATTTATAAAAATAAAGTTTAATATATAATTAATTATTTATATTATAAAATTAAAAATAAAAAATAACTTAAATAAATTATATTAAATATAAATAGTTTTAACTAATTTATAAAAGGGTTTAAACTTTAAAGGAGTAGGAATTCCTTAATAAAAAATAATAAATTATTTAATTTATTATAAAATTAAATATTAATAGTTTAAAAGTTAATATTATTTAAAAGATAGGTTAAAAGAATAAATTAAAGAAGTATTATATAATAAAAGAGTTAATTAAAAGTAATTTTAATAAGTAATTAATATAAATAAATAAATAATATTTAAATAAAGTTTAATTATTAATTTAATTAAGTATTTTATTTAAATAATATAAATTCCTTATTTTAATATAATAAAGAATTTATATTATTTAATATTATACTTTAAAATACTAAAAGTATTATTTATAAATATAATATTTAAAATAATTATTATTATTATTAATAATAATAATAATAATAATAATAATAATAATAATAATAATAATAATAATAATAATAATAATAATAATAATAATAATAATAATAATAATAATAATAATAATAATAATAATAATAATAATAATAATATAATAATAATAATAATAATAATAATAATAATAATAATAATAATAATAATAATAATAATAATAATAATAATAATAATAATAATAATAATAATAATAATAATAATAATAATAATAATAATAATAATAATAATAATAATAATAATAATAATAATAATAATAATAATAATAATAATAATAATAATAATAATAATAATAATAATAATAATAATAATAATAATAATAATAATAATAATAATAATAATAATAATAATAATAATAATAATAATAATAATAATAATAATAATAATAATAATAATAATAATAATAATAATAATAGTAATAGTAATAATATATCTATATAGTATTTTTTATATTTTATTTTATAAATTTAAAATTAATATTTTTAAATAATATTTAATAACTTTAAAGTTATAAAAGGAATAATAATAGAAGGTAATAAAGTAAATAGTAATAATTTTAATATATAACTTTTTTATAATATATAATATTAAAATTAATTAATAAACTCTTTATTTATTTTTAATAAAAAGTTTATTAATTAAATTAAAGAATATATATTATATTAATTTCTTTATTTTTATTAATTTTTATTAATTTAATTTATAATATTTATATAAGATTATATTAAAATATATATTTCTACTATTAAGGAATATTACTTTATAATAAAGTTAATGTGGGAATAGTAGGCTGCAATGGATTAGCCACTGCAAGGCTAGTAGGCCCGTGCGTACGCACGGACCACTATGCTTAGTCAGCAAGGTCTGGCCAACCCAACTGGGCGCTTCGCCGCCCAGCCAGGCAGACCTCTAACTAACACCAATCCACACCACTTCAACCACTTCTTACACATAAGCTAAACCAACCGACACTAATCAATTACCAACTAGCTTCTAATAATAAAGTAAATCGTTTAAACTATTTAAACGTTAAGTCCTCTTAGAGGATGAATTAATAAGGTTACTTTATTATTATAGTCCTTAATAAGGAGGATAAATTAGTAATACTACTATCGCTATTATAGCCTCTTTAAAAGGTAAGTTATTTAAATTACCTAGGCATAAATTCAACTATTAAGTAGGACCCTTTTACTAAATAAGTCTTATAACTCTCTTATAATAACTCTCTTATAACTAATAATTTAAGCCTATCTATTAGACTCTTAAACTAGTGTTTAGCTATATACCTATTAACCTATTTAATAGACTACTCTATTAGTTAATCTATTTACCTACCCTTATATTATTTAAATAATTAATTAAATAAATAACTTTTATATATTCTCTTAACTTCTCTCTCTCTCTCTTTCTCTTTTATAATTATAAATAGAAGATACTCTAGTAATATAGTTACTATAACTCTAAGTCTAAAGATAAAGTTATTTATAGTTATTATAAGTATATACTAATAATATATCTACTTATATTATAAAAGGAAGTTTAAGTTAAAAATAAAATAAAAA